TCAGCTAGACTGGCTGCCTAACAAGCCCTAAGGACCCGTACCTGTCTCCATCTACCCAGTGCTGAGATTACAGGCCTGCACCACCTCTCCCAGCCTCTGTCTGGGTGCTGGGGATCTGAACTCAGGTCCTCCTTCTAACATAGCAAGTCCATTATAGATGGAGCTATCTGCCCCACCTTATCCTACTTTAAGGGACAGCCAGTGGTGATGAAATGTGTGACTTTCCCCTTCTCTATTTATCTTCTTCCAGAGGAAGCACATTGCTTTAATGGTTTACAAACAGTACATCCTCAATTATGTGTGGTTTGTTGAAATGATAACTGTTGAATTTCTTTACAATCCTTATTGCTGTGGGTTGAAAGAGGCATAGAGGTCTTGGGCTGCAGAAGCCAGGGGAGGAAGGGATGGGACTCAGCTCTGTCTGTTCTGTTCAAACCAGATGCCTTAGCCTCATTTTCTCATTTTCTTCTTATGGCATCCTGAGAGGTGGATAGTGCTATTTCCTGTTTTGCATGGGAAAAACTCTCCACCAGAAACAAAGAGGTCTTTTTAAAGGTACATTCTGAAGTGGGAGAGCACCAGTTCAAACGAGGTTGGCTCCTTCCGAGGTATGTTGTGGTCTGCATGCCTCCCTCCCTTCTTTCCCAAACAGTATTCCCTTTTTCATGTGAAGTTTTAAAAGATATTTCTCAGGATCATCTTGTAAATGCATTGGTCTTTATTCTTACCCATTGAAAACTATTTTTCAGAAGTCTTAGTTATTTTATGTATATGAGCATTGTGCCTGCATGTATGGCTGTGCATCACATGCGTGTCTAGTGCCCCTATATTGAAGTCAGAAGAGGCTGTGTGAGCCTCTGGAACTGGAGTTACCGTGGTTATGAGACACCCTGTGGGAATTAAACCCAGGACCTCTGCAAGAGCAGTGCATGCTCTTAACTGATGAGCCATCTCTCCAGGCCTCTTCCCCGTTCTTTGCTTGGACTCTATCCTCTTTTCCCTGGTCCAAGCCCCCAAATGGCATATGTTTGCCTAAATATGCCCACTGGACTTGTAGCTAGAGCTCTTTTTCATCAGGTTGACCTGACACCTTTTTAAAGAAGCCGAACAGTAGTGAGAAACGCCCCAGCCCAGCTCTGAGACCTGGTAAAGTTCTTTGCGTTGGCTGGGTGCATCTGGATTTCACTCCAAATATGGGGACTCCATACGGGTGAGGGGCAAACACCTGAAGGTCTTTCGTGGGTCTCTCCTTCTCTCGGCACCCTAGAGATCTCTGGGGTATCAACTCAGGCTCCTGCCCACATGCTTCCTGGGAATTTATCATCACGACACTCCTAGGTCAATATAGTCAAGTCAACAGCTTGAAGTAGAGATGTCCCTCAGTTGAGCCAACCCTTTCCTCCAGTGGGCCCATCCCAGCCCTGCGGAGTTCCTGGGAGTAGGTGTAGGAATCCTCCTCTCCGGCAGTCCTCGCTTAGCCTTGCAGAGTCCCTGAGAGTGGATGTGCTGCTTGTCCCTGTAGAGTGATCGACCGCCAGGGCTGCCTGGGATCTCAGACTTGGGGCGCTGCTCCTTTGTCTTTTCTCTGAGAGTTAAACCCAGCCTCTTCCTAGAAGGAGCTTCATTTGTCTTTTAGAGGGCAGCAAGATCCTGGGGAACAGAATGGTGTTTTCCTGCCTCATCCTCTCAGGCTGCTTTAGTAATGGGAGGAAACAGGACAAGAGAGAGGGCTGTGGTGCTGGCAGAGGCCTTCACCCTAAGTGCCAACTCAGTGAGTATCGGTTTTAGCCCACTAAGAGCCTTGGCCTACCTAATATTCCCTCCAAAGTGAGATTGCCAAAGTCGGGAGATAAAGGTGAGCCTTTCATCAGTTGCCCGAGTCGGGGTATGGACTTCTCATTTGGAAAGGTTTCATGATTCCCATGACTCATTTTATAGCTCAAGGCATTCTCCCTCCTTCATACTTCACATATATCTCTCCTTCCATATCCTCCTTTATCAGAACCTTAGGCTTAGGAAAACAAAACCTGGCACACACAGACAGAAATCCTTTGTTGTATTCCTAGTCCACTGTGGACATGTTGCCATGGTGATGACTGTATACACACACACACACACACACACACACACACACACACACACACACACACACTCAGTTATCGAGGATACCATTGGGTTCTTTTTTCCCCTTTCTTAGACAACAGGCAACACTGTTAACTAAACAAACTATTGGTATGTCTTTACGGCTTCTCTTGGCACTTTTTAGCTGGTTTAATTTGCTCCTAATTCAGCTGTCCTTAGTCCTGCCCTGTGAGTAGAGTTGACTTTATGAAGAGCCAGTGCTCACTTTCAGGTTTATTCGCTGTTGGAGCCACTTGTAATGCTATCAGAGACAGAGAGCATGCTTGCGTACATGGTGCGCTAGTTCCTTTCCCATTGCTGTGATTTAACATAAAATGACAAAGGCAACTTAGAGATGGAGAGCTTTTGGGGCTTATGGTTCCAGAGGGATGAGTCCATGGTGGAAGAGTGGGTGTGGCCAAAGGGACCGGAAGCTAAGGGCTGGAATCTTGAACCCCAAGCACAAAGCAGAGAGAGTGAACAGCAAGGAGCGAGAGGCCTTAAGCTCTCAAAGCCCACTCCGAGTGACATACTCCCCTCAATCAGGCCACACTTCCTAAAACCTCCAAAACCAGTGCCACCAACCAGAGACCAAGTGTTCAAATACATGAACCTGGGGTGTCGGTGGGGTGTCTCATTCAAACCACCACACATGGGACCTGACTTCTATGGCTATAAGTCCCTTAATTTATTTTCCAAGATTTAGATATCTCACTGTGTGGTTTTGATTTTAGCTTATGGCTTTAATGTAATCATGTTTAGAGAGCAAAGTGCCAGAAAGACATTACAAGGTTTGAGTATTTAATAATCAATCCCATTTGACATCCTGGCTAGTTGGTTCCTGGACAGTAATATAGTAGCCTTTTTTTTTTTAATTGGACTATGTGAACACTCCAACTGGATGGATTGAATAAAATATATTTCACTGTCAACATGTGTGGGGAAGTTGTAGAATTTAGTTGAACTCAGTGTGTTTAGAAAGGTCCTGGCCTTCTGCAGCCCAAACCAAGTACATCCATTGCCCTTAACCCAAGGCTTCAGATGAAGATGATGCTTCCTGGGACTTCTCTATGAAGTCTGAGGGGTTCTCCCTCACTGTAAGACTCCCTATAGCTGCCTGTAACTGGTGGCAGCTGGCAGCCTCAATAACTACTTGGAAGTGGGGGTGCCCGTCTAGGCCATGGTCAGTACTTTCCCTGATCCTCAGTACTTTGCCATGCATGAGTCCAATGTATCAGAGGTGGTATAATAGCTCTTATGGCTCCACCTGGCCACTAGGGCACACTTATTTCCAGCTCTGTGTTTAAAGGCTATCTGTGGGATACGGCTAGTGACCTAACTTACCAGAGGCTCTGTGATCTTCTCTGTAAAATAGAGTTAATACCCTTCCATCAGACTGTTGAAGACTGAGACGGTACTTGTGGGAATGCTTGTTATAGCATTTGGCAGTGAGTAGCATGTACCCTACCCACCATTCACTGTTTTAATTACTAGTATGCTCCTAGATGTGGGAAATTCTGTAGTCTCTCTCCCCTCCAGTTTTTGTTACATTGCATTACAGATGTCTTTAGAAGGAATTTAAAAACATCCTTTGGGACCAACCTGGTCTACAAGTGAAAATTCCCGGACATTCAGGGCTACACAGAAAAACCCTGTCTCAAAAAAACCCAAATAGATAAATAAGAAACAAAGAAACATGTATTTTAAACTGGGTCATGGTGGCAAACACCTTTAATCCCAGCACTCAGGAGGAAGAGGCAAGTGGATCTCTTGAGTTTGAGGCTAGCCTGGTCTACAGAGTTATAGGACAGCCAAGGCTACATGGAGAAACCGTGTCTCAAAAAACCCAAAATAAATAAATAATTGAAATCCCTTGGGATAAGAAACCCACTGCCTTTCTCAAAAGAAAAAAAAAGCAACAAAAAAACCGAAACAAAAGAATATCATTCACATTACATTGACCTCATCTTTTCAACAGTTTCAACTGTCCCATTTCAGTGACATTTATAAGTTTTACAGTGTCATACAACCATTGCTATTGTCTACTTCCAGAACATTTTCATGACCCCCGAAGGGACCCATAACCATTAAACAGTCACATCCATTCCCTCCCTGACCCCAGCCCCTGGCAGCCATGAAGTAGCCTGTTTGCTGCCTCTGTAGATTCATATTCACAGGCTGTTATAACAGTGGTCTTTTCTGTTCAGCTTCTTTCACTTAGCATGGTGTCTGCAAGATTCCTCCATGTTATGTGAATCCTTCATTCTGTTCGATGTCTGGATGATAATCTCTTACTGGTTTTCTTACATTTAGTCTATACATTCATCAGTGTAGGTCGCTTCCACCTTTGGCTGTTATTAATACTGCTGATATGCGCAATAGTTTGTAACTTTTCCTTTGAACACTGGTTTTCAATTCTTTTAGAAGTAAAATTGTATATTGTGTGATAATTCTGTGCTTACATTTTTTGAGAAACTGCCGAACTCTTCTGCCATGCTGTACATTTTATGTTCACATCAACGATAGTTCTAATTCTTCCACCATCTTTCCCAAGACTGGTTACTTATTATTATTGTTGTTGTTGTTAATAGCTGTCATAGTGATGTGAAATAGCGCCTCACTGTGGTTTGAGAATGTTTGTAGTACTGGTTTTGTATGTATCTGCATTCATATTACCATATTAATGTTCTTAAACCTGTCACATTTCAAAGCTATATGAAAAACCATATATATACCCCCATGGGTGGAGGTGCAGAGGGTCTTTTGACCACTGGAGTCTGTAATATTTGCTGTGGCTTTGCCACTGTGTAGCTGAGCAGAGATGATATCTAACCTGTGTAATTCTCCAGCCTCTCTAAGTACTTTCCTCTTGGTTTTAGGGATTTCCTCAGAGACATCCAGAATGGTTTTTAGACACACTGGATAAGAGCTGACACCTGCCTGTGTGGACTCCACTCTCTCAGCTCCACCATCTTCTCATGGCATTTTGACTACACTGAGCCCAAGTGACCAGCTCTTCATAATGAATGATGAGAAGAACCTGGGCGTGTCCCAAAAATTGGTTTCACCTTCAAGAAGCACAAGCAGCTGTTCCTCCAAGCAAGGGAGCCGGCAGGTAACCCTTGACCTCCTGTCACTCTTAAAATGCAAATCGAATCACAAGGATTTGCAAGTAAAGAAGTGTGCTCACTAGGGAGACTCCAGCTCCCAGTTTAAGAGCAAGCACTTGTTTTCATACCTGGCTACATGAAGAGAATCGATTCCTGTTCCTTCGGGGACGGAGAACTGCATTTGGCTCTTGGTATTATTTTAGTTAGCCTTTGCAACTGACTACCAACATAGGTTCTAACGGTCCCATTTTCCTTATCGGGAAGCGGAATCGTACAGACCAGGTTACCTGCCCCAGAGAGGACCAGATACCACACTAAAGCTCCACCTCTTTTGCTCCAGGGCCCGCCTTTTCTTTTTTAGAGATTTATTTATTTTTATTTTATGTGGATAGGTGTTTTGCCTGCATGTATGTCTGTGCACCACATGTGTGTAGTGTACTCAGAGGCTGGAAGATGGTATCAGTTCCCCTGGAACTGGAGTTGTTATAGCTGGTTGTCAGTGGCCATTGTGGGTGCAGGAACTTAACCCAGGTCCTCAGTGTGACAAGTGCTCTTAACTGCTGAGCCATCTCTCAGGCCCCTCCCACCTTTCCTTATACCCCATTAACCAAAATAAGCAGTAATTACGTATTCAGTAATTAAATACCCCCCCCCCCCCACTTCCTTCTTGTCACCAAACTTTTGAGGAAAGCGTGTACTACCAGATTGCCTGTGAGGAGCTAAGGCCTCTCCTGCTTTCCTTTATAATGGGATGAGGGAAGCTGGTAAACGGGAAATAGTGACGGAAGGAAACAGTAACACGGGCAGAATTAACTCCTAAGTAACTGGCCGTGGTCACCGGTCGCTTCTTGGTTTCCTTGCCAAGGAAAGGAAAATATGGCTTTGTTGGCAGAACTTCTGGTGTCCAATCATGGCAATAAGGGCATATTAATCACTGCAGTCCATCCTGCTTCACCATATCGGGAGGGGGCGGGGGTAGGGGATATGCAAGAAAGCTGGATTTTTCAACCCAGAAGGACTTTGAGCCGTTCAGTATTTACTGGCTCTGTGGGCATCGCCTTTGCCCTGTGGGAAGCTCTGGCCTAAGAATTTGCTTTTGTCCAATTTGGAAGCAGCAATTAAGCAGTGGCCCACCCTGGGAACACTGTACAATGGTGACTCAGCTACGTGTCTCTTAGCTTGAACATTGGTCTCGGTCAGGGAGCTTGCCACCCACAAGTCCATGATTCTCAGCAAATTAAAGTTTGCCGTGACCTTGACGTGTAAGAAGCCCTTTAAGATCTCTTGAGAGTTAAGAAAGAGTGTGGTTTTTGTTTTGTTTTTAAAGTATTTATCTCTGGTGCATGCCTGTGTGCGTGTGTGCGTGCGTGCGTGCGTGCGTGCATGCATGGGATCGCATGTTTGTGTCTGTGAGTATGGCTGCACCTGTGCCGTGACGTCCTCGTGGAGGTTGGAGGACAAGCTCAGGTGTAGATTCTCACCTTCTGCCTTGTTTGAGACGGTCTCTTCATGGTTCTTCGGATGCTCACACCAGGCCAGTGGCCCATAAACCTCCAGGGACTCTCCTCTCCCTGCTTCTTGTCTTGTGAAAATGTTGCCATTTCAGACGCTTGTGCTATGATGCGTCTGTAGTGAAGAACTCAGGTCCTCATGTGTGTGGTGTGTGGTGTGGTGTGGTGTGGTGTGTGGTGTGGTGTGGTGTGTTGGCTAGGTGTCTGTTGTTGTTTCTGCCAACCTGACACACACTCAGGTCGTCTGAGAAGGTGGAACCTCCGCTGAGAAAAATGCTCCGATGGATTGACCTGTCGGCAGGTCTGTGGGGGCATTTTCTTGATTAATGATTGTTGTAGGTACTGCCCACTGTGGGCACCCCTAGGCAGTTACCCCTCCGCTGTTTAAGAAAACAAATCTAGCAAGCCACAGGGAGCAAGCCAATAAGCAGCACTCCTCCATAGTTTCTGCTTCAGTTCCCGCCTCCAGGCTCCTGCCCTGCTTGAGCTCTTGCCTTGGCTTCCCCCAGTGATGGGCTGTAATCAGGCGGTGTGAGCCAAATAAAGCCTTTTCCTCCCCAAGTTGCTTTTGGTTGTGGTTTTTATCACAATAAAGAAAGCAAACTAAAACACGTGACAGGCACTTTTACCCACTGACATAACTCCCCTGCCTCTGGGATTTTTTTTTTTTTTTTTTAAAGATTAAATTTGTTGCTGGCTGATGCTAATGCACCCTGGGTCCCTGGAGATCTGCTCTCCTGGCAGTGACCGTGCCTGCCCACTTGGCCGGCTTCAGCCAGCCCTCAGGACTGGAGAAGAGTGTGGTTTGCCCTCCCACCCTGGCAACTTACTCCACGCAGCGTGTCTTATTTTGTCCTCCTTTGCGCCACAGGGAGAATGGGTCCGGTGAAGTAGCAAGCGTGACGGCCCCAGAGGAGCTGTGGCATTTCCATCCTCGCTACGGGAACTCTTTCTAGCGTGTTCATTGAGATTGGTTGGTTTGGTTTTCACAATGCTCTTTTCCTCCCAGTTTCCATAAAAACAGTAAGAGGATCCTACCCCCTGCTTCAGCTTTCCTTGACCATTCAGCACACGGCCGGCCGTCTTTTATATTTAAAAGACCTTCCGCTTGAACTTGCATGCTCAGCACACACCGTTGCCCTTTGTGCTGGTCAGGTTTTTGTCAACTTGACACAGACTAGAGGCACCTGGGAGGAGGGACCCTCAATTACAGAGTTGCCTCTGTCAGAGTGACCTGTAGGTAGGTCTGTGGGGCAGGGACTTGGTGCCGGTTGATGTAGGAGGGACCAGCCCACGGTGGGCGGTGCCACCCCTGCACGGGTGCTCCTGGATGGGATAAGAAAAAGCAAGCTGATCAAGCCATGGGGAGCGCGGGCCAGTGAACAGCGTTCCCCTAGGAGCCTTCCCTGGATTCCCGCCCTGACTTCCTTCGGGAATGGACTGACCAGGACATGTAAGTCCAATAAACCTTTGCCTTCCCAAGTTCCTGTTGGTGTTGATCACAGCAAAAGAAAGCAAACCAGAACACCTTATTGGCTTAAACGTTTGTATTTCCTCTATGACAGAGAAAGTAGAGAATTTAATAAATTTATTTTACATCTCTTCTGAATTTAGTTATACAGCCTGTTTAATTTGCGGGGACCACCGTGCTTTGAGTCTCCCCACTGTCGCACTTTCAGACAAAGGAAAGTGTTCTGACCAGGATGGCATGGCTTTCCCACCCATGATGGCTTTGTCATCCATCTTCATCTGTCTCACATGCTGGCCGGGACACTGCTTGGGTCTCAGGAGCCTTGGAAGCTCGCTCTCCCTTGCTGGCCCTTTGGGGACTCAGCTGTTCCCATTGCATCTGTCAGTTGCTAAATAAAGCACACAGTGCATTTCCAGCCTCATCACAGGAAGTACAAGTTAGATGCTTAAAATGGCAAGATTTCCACAGTCACAGGCTGAACTGGAGGAATGTTAAAACGCTAACTGGTGAAGACGTGGTTACCTCCTTGCATGGCGGGTGCCACTTTGAATCCCCTGTCAGGTTGCACTGTGCTTTCCTTTTATCCAGAGTGGGTTCGCCCCCTGTTGACGTCACTGGCCATTATCTGTGGTGCTAGTTTCCTTGTGTGCTTTGGACTGTGGATAGAGCCTCGTCTTGCGTGTCTCCTGTGAGATCTAAGTCACCTGCCTTGGTGTGGGATGTGCTGTTGCTTACTTCCGCTCCCTGGACTCTGATCCAGGGCAAGTGTCACGTTGCATTGGAATTCCTTTTCCATGGTGAGAATGGAATGTCCCAGATCCCCATAAGACCAGCAGGTAACCTGGCCCAGGTTCAGCTGCCTCCTTCCACCTCCCTGGATGAGCAGATGGCAAAACTTCCTTTCGCTGTGTTGGGAGGACTTCCCTCTGAGTCATCTTGATTTGCAGCCGTGGGCCTGGCTCCGGTGGGGAAGGTTCAGCTCCCTTAGCTCACAGAAGTAAGCCAACAAACACCTTTGCACACAGTATGTTTTGCCTTTTTACTTTGTTTCAGATCCATGGAGATTTTCAAACTTTTAAATCTCCCCCATACCTGTAGCTTTATTGAGAATAACTAACAACTGAAAATCATATGTATTTATAGTTTATACTGTGCTGTTTTGATATTTGCATGTGGCATGAATGATACACACAGGCCAGATAACAAATGTACCAATCACCCTACTTTGTTATGTGTGGAGTGTGGATAACAAGAGCATTTCGGATCTGTTCTAGCCTGGGGAGCTGCGTAGTGTAGAGTGTTCAAGCATGTGGGTTTAATTCCCAGACTCCACAAAAAGCTGGGTGTGGAGACAGACACTTATGAAACCAGCTCTGGGGAAGTAGAGACAGACAAGTCTCTGGGGTTCCCTGGCCAGCCTCTACTAGTGGGTGAGCTCCAAGCTCATGAGAGACCCTGTCTCAAAAATAAGGTGTTCAACTCCTGAAGTACAACATCTGAAATTGTCCTCTGGCCTCACCTCACACCTGTGAACATTGTCCTCTGGCTTCATCTACACACATGTGAACATTGTCCTCTGGCCTCGCCTCACACCTGTGAACATTGTCCTCTGGCCTCATCTCACACCTGTGAACATTGTCCTCTGGCCTCACCTGCACACCTGTGAACATTGTCCTCTGGCCTCATCTACACACATGTGAACATGCACACATATAGAGACCTACTTTCCTGACAGATGTCACATATAGTTTCCCCATGATATTCACAAAGGTATCAGTTCCAGGAGCCCCACTGATAACAGAATTTAAGAATGCACAAGCTCTTTGTGTGAAATGCGATAGCTTTCATCTATCACCTAGGCCACCCTCCTCTGTTCTTCAAGTGGTCTAGATTCCTCATAGAAACACTGTGTTAGCTGCACTCTCTTCAGGGAATGATGTCAGGAGGGGGAGTCTACGTGTTTGGGCACAGTCTCTCCAAATATTTTCAGTCTGCAGTTTGCTGACTCCATGGAGGGCAGAAC